TTCCAGTGAAGGTGTATGGAGTTTGAAAGCACAGTGGAGCACTTTCTGTATTACCACATGACATCACAAGGTGGAACACAGTGTTTTCTGTTTGAGAGAAGAACTGTGTTAAACATGTGTGAATGAAACAAAACACAACTTCAGATCTGTTTTGATGAGGAAACAACATTATAACATAGCTCAGAAAATAAAAAAATATGGGCTCTTTAAAGGTGCACTGTGTAACTTTTCTGGTGCAAGGTCCGTCATCTGCTTCTCTTCAATGAGATATTGCCTAGAACAGGGATGTCAAACTAATTTTGGTCCGGGGGCCGTATCCAACCGACTTTGATCCCAAAGGGGCCGGATCAGAAAACTCATGTCATATAAACCCCAAAAATAACAATAAGTTCAAATATTTGTGCAGAGAAACACAAATCTATTACAGAAATCTTTTTTAACTGATGAACTCTTTCTTTTACAAAATATTATAATATTATGAACAACCTGAAACTTTAAGAAAAATACAATTTCAACACAATGTTTTAACATGAACTTGTTTGGAAAATCCTGCACTCGGCTCCACTTTTCTCATGTTGAACATTTTGCTGATGAGGGTGTCACGGTCAACAGTCAAAACGATTGTCCTTTAAGAGCGTCTTCATTTGTGCTGCTCTGGTGGGAGGGGCCACGTACAGATGCTGGAGACGCTGCTATGATAAACACCACAGAAAATTAACAGTATTTTAATAAAAAATATAATTTAAATATTTTAGTAGAAAATCAGCCGAGGGCCAGATTAAAGGTCTTGGAGGGCCGGATCTGGCCCCTGGGCCGCATGTTTGACACCTGTGGCCTGGAATGTTCCACAGTTTGGCATTACGATTATTTATCTCTACAGAGACAACAGGGCCAAGTTACATGTCAGATCTGTGGAGATGATGATTGATGATGATGATGAATAGCGACACAAAATTAGGGGTGTGCAAAAATACTGAAATATCAATATATCGTATAATTTAATTTAATGATACACTATCGATATCTTGGGCTGCTGTATCGATATATCGCCAAGAGCATATTTAGGTATTAATTAATTTGTGTAAGAGCTAAAATTGTGTAAAATTTCGAGTAAAATTGGTGTTTCTGATATTAACTATGCACAAACTTAGCAGACTTTGTAGACTTTTAGTATCACTGCCATGATTTAGGCTTTGTTTTTCACTGAATCGAATAGAATCGATTTAAAATATATCGTATCGAATTCTATCAGATTGAAAGTGCACTGTATCAAAAACCGTACACAAGGTATGTATTGTATGGGCAACTTCTTAATGATCCTCAACCTTATACACAACACTTGTAAAGCTCTTTTCAAGATACTCAAGGACACTTAACATGAAGAGACAAATGAAGGCAAACAAAGAAATAAGATAGAAGAGATGATGTAAATGCGAGATGTAATGTCATACCGGGACATTCTAGAAAAAAAATGGAGACAAGCAGGTTATCACAATCACAACACCTGCTGAAAAAAATTTTAATATTATAGAAAATGAATATGAGATTTACTTATTGTTAGCCTTCTCAGCTTTTTAGTCGATCCTCTATAAACTCATCTTTCCCCAGGCTCTACCATATTACTTGTACAAAGGGTTTATTATCTTCGTAATTGTGGTCCCCTGGGCATTATACACAATACTGGGCACCCAAACCTGCTGACAGTCCCTTCATTGTTGACCCCCATACCGCTGTGGTGTAATTGCCCCAATCATGGTCCATAATAACATTGTTTTGGAGCTTCTATTGTCCAAATATTGATCTCTTTCACATGAGAAAGTATCTATAACCATTTTGTCGGAGTACAATACAGAGCCACAGCCTGTTTGGAGCAAATCAGGTTTTCTGGGATCATGGTTAAATCAATATGAAGGGAAAAGGTTTAGTGAACTGTGGAGAAGGAGTAATTAAGGAGGCACTATGTCATTTTTTTTTCTGGTGGGGAGTCTGTCACCTGCTTGTATTCATTGGAGATGTGATTATTTTGCTATAATGTTCCTCAATATGGCCTTAAACTGATGTATCTTGCATGTAAACAATTATAGATGTCTTAGAAGGAAAAACATGACCTTGTGGCATCACCTGGCTGTCATGGAGATAGGTATAATGCTATGGTGGAACATTCCAGGCAAATCATTAAAGCAGGTGAGCGGATGGTAGCCAGGCTGGCGCCACCTAGTGCCTCCACTCAATTTCATTTTTCTCCAGCAACTAGGTGAGAAATCAAAATACAATAGATGGTCCGCAAAAACCACAGAAGTGCGAGTTCGGGCACCAGCCAATCAGTGAAGAGCCATACATTCAGTGTTGTCAACGATTCCTGAGATCGAGGATTTAGAGCCGGAATAAAGAGAATGTTTGGTGAATTTCATCAAGGGGAAAGATGTTATTGCCCTTCTTCCTACGGGATTTGGGAAAAGCTTAATATACCAGGTAGCCCCGTTAGCGGCGCATTACATACGTCAGGACCAAATAGCAGCGATTGGTTAAATGACAAAAAGTACCCGCCTACTGTCGAGCGAACGAAATCTAAGGCTGCGAGGTCAGACGGTTTGTACGAAGTGAAACGAAGTAAAACCGGCTGATGAATCAGGCTAAGCGAACAGACCTTCAATCAGAAAAGTTACATGTTGCATCTTTAAAGACTTTCATCAAACATTATCTTCTTATCAGTGATTGTTGGGAGTGTATAGCCCCACAAAGCTGTAATTTCTTTCGTTTAAATTGAAATATTACTTATTCGGAAACATTCTTGTCTATATGTGACACATAATGGAGGATGATTCTTCCTCAAATGAGCCCAGAGCAGAAGGAAGCATGGATGAATGAAAATGATTATGATTATGATTCTGCATTAGCGCGGCCTGCAGTATTCTGCTCTCTAAGTATGTGGTCTGGCAGTCTGGAGGCAGATTGCGTCATGGGTGCAAATATTAAAGATTTTTTTTTTTTTTAATAGACAATAGTGTTTCCCATTAACAGAGGAGACCACAGTGCCCTCCATAGTCTAAACAACCTCAACAATACTAAAATATATGTTTTGCTTATTGCAGTATCTTTAATGAATCCTTTTTTTAACTGATGGTCTGTAACTTTTTGGAGGTAAAAATTCAATTGCATGATTCTATGGAAATGAAAAGTTAAAACCAAACTTCAGAATATTCTCCATGGAGACAGATACATTTAATACCGAAGGAACAAGCAGAAGGAAGCCCTGCCCACCAGACGAAGGTTTGTGGAGATGCAAGTCTGCTCACATTGTTCTGTGGAATAAAAACACCCATAATAAAAAATATGCTTTTATTTTAGTGTATTTTTGACTAAAAGGTTACATACTTTGGCTTAATTAGTATAGGCCCAGGGTCTCCAACCTTTTTGCTCTGGTGAACTACTTTTACAAAACAAAAATGTAAGAGAGCTACTCATTTTAGTGGCCGCAAAAAACTGAGACGATTATAAGAAAGTGGGCAAGCCTGTGGGTACAGTTAGATGCCTATAAAACAGGGCTCTTGAACCTTTTTCGTTGGATGAGCTATACCTTTACAATTCAAAAATTCCATAGACCTACTCATTTAAGCAATTGCAAGAAATCAAGTTTACATAAGAGCCATAGCAAAACCTAGATGGAGTACAGTTAAATAAAACAACATAAACCGTTATTTATTCGAGTGCACAAAGTTAGGCATCAAAATGATAGATTTATAATAATAATAGGCATTTAATTCATCAAGTTTTAGTTATTCAGAACAATATATGTAATTCAGAAATCCTTTGGAGAGCTACTTGGAAGAGGGTGGAGAGCTACAGGCTGGAGACCCCTGGTATAGACAGTAGTCATGGCATATTTACCCCACACCCCCCTTCAAAATGTGATCAAGGTTTACCTGTGCCACCAATATGCACTACTTTGTACTTTCTACTCACTAAACACTGAACAGAACACAACTCTTGGGATGACAACAAGGCAACAAAGACACAAGATCTAACTGGGCATAGGTTAGAGTCTCATTCATGAGGGGTGTAACAATATCCAAGTCTTACCATACCATATCTTCACGGTATGAACCTCATGGTACGATATTTATTGCGATATCATGGGAAAGCTCACGTTTAGGGATGTAACAATATCCATATCTCTCGGTACGTTATTTCCACAATATACATCTCAAGGTATGATATTTATTGTGATATTTTGTGGAGTCTAAACAGCTAAAACTGTTAATATATTACTTTTTCTTCTTAAAATGCCTTGACAAGACTTAATTCAAAGAACTAAGACTTAAAAGTGCTTAGAAATGTTATTTCTTCATGTAGTAGTCAGAACTAAAACGGAGCAAAGGACTATGGTCTATGTAGTTCCCTCTGTATTTTTTAGCTATTGCTGCACCAACTCTTAATTTAAGCAAAAAGACTTGTAATTTGATTGTTCACGATATTATTATGAGCACTTTGACGATAGGATATCACGATATTTCGGGTTATTGTTACATCCCAATAATTCATACAAATTTGCATCAACCTTAAATGTTTTATTCTAAGTTCTAAGTTCTTTAGTTGAAGATTTTCCAACACGTGCATTTATTTTTAACACATACAGCACAGTTCTTGAATAGTGGCAGACACAATAATACTCACCCCGTGCACTTGATGCTTCTCTCCTGCCTCGTGCATCAAAACATTTCCTTGCGTCATGACTACGCTGTCGGTGACGCTCTACTCCACTACACCCCGCCTCTCTCACCTTTCGGCTGTGCACTCGTCTCCAACTCACCGTCCAGACCTCGTGGATGTGTCGCGAAGACAAAAACAAACCCTGGAAAACAACTTTATCACCAAACAGCGCGCGTTTCAGGCTTAACCAACTTGTTATTGAACATTTACGCACGTCCAGAGCCACCAAAGCGAGCGATTATTTTGGTTTCGTTTGAGCGACACAACTCCTCCACTATCTCATCTGTCTCATGTCGCGAAAGCAAGCCGACCATGACTACAACCTCCGGAGTATGAGCAACCTGATGGGGGAGCGGTGGAGGAAAGTGAACGATGGCGGGGAGAGGAGTCTCATCAAAGCTCCGTCTTCAGCAAGCATCAGCAGCACCACAGCCCCGGGTGCGCCCTCCTCCTCCTCTTCTAACCCTGCCGCTGGAGCTTCTTCCACGGCCCCAGCCACGACCTCCACCGGGGACCTGGAGAGAGCCGCGCGTAAACAGTTCACCCAAGATGTCACTCCCGGGTTCGTGTACGTGCTGGCCGTGTTTTCAGCGCTCGGGGGGTTTCTGTTCGGGTACGACACCGGGGTGATCTCCGGAGCCATGCTTTTGCTCAAACGGGAGCTGGGTTTGAGCGCGCTTTGGCAAGAAGTGCTCATCTCAAGTACAGTCGCTGCTGCCGCTCTGTCTGCGCTCATGGGCGGCTTTCTCAACGGGCTGTTCGGGCGCAGGGTGTGCATTCTCCTGGCCAGCTTCTTCTTCACGATCGGAGGGATTGTACTGAGCACTGCGCCCGGAAAAGAGGTGCTTTTGGCGGGAAGGCTCATCGTTGGAGTTGGCTTAGGTAAGACAAAACTACTATTTAAAAATTACTGAAGAGCAGAGAATAACTCCAGTTTATGAAGCCAAAACAAAACTAGGCTAGACTTATTTGGGCATATAGTTTTTATTTATTTGGCTATACCACAGTGCTGCTTAAAGGTGCACTGTGTAACTTTTCTGGTTGGGTCCAATGAAATAATAAAACACCTGTAATGGAATAAATGCCAGACTGAATTATGGGGACAAGCACATGGCAGACTTCCAACCAAAAATGTTACATCATCATGTAAAAAGGTGAGGGAACAGATGTGTTACTCTAAATCTGAAATTGCATTAAACTTTCTGGAGGTGGCACCCCACCTGCATCATTCTATGTGGGAAGTTAAAACCATACTTATACTTATATATATACTTATATTCGGAATATTGTCCATTAGGGGTGCGCAAAAATATTGTAATATTGATATATCATCTCGTTAAATGTGACGATATAGTATGGATATCATGGGCTGCTGTTTAACAAAGACTTTTAGTATCAGAGCCATGGTTTAGCTTTGTTTTTATTGAATCATATCGAATCGAAAGTTCACTGTAAGCAGGGCCGGGCCATGGTAGTACTTGGATGGGAGACCACTGGGAATGCCACAGGGGGGCACCAGTGGCAAAAACTGTCATTGTGTCCTTAGGCAAGACACTTCATCCACATTGCCTAGTATGAAAGTGGTGTGTGAGTGATGGTGGTGGTCGGAAGGGCCAATGGCGCAGATTGGCAGCCTTACTTTCGTCAGTCTGCCCCAGGGCAGCTGTGGCTGCAGTATTAGTTTACCACCACTGAGTGTTGAGTGAATGAATAATGAACTGTAAAGCACTTTGGTTATCTTGAAAGGCGCTATATAAATGCACTGATTAATTCATTAATTATATCGAGATATGTATCGTATCGTGGCCTATGTATTGTATCGGCTACTTCTGATTGAAACCCAGCCCTATTCTCTGTGCAGATAGATCGGTTTTATGTACTGTGGAAGATTATAAGCAAAGGAACAGTATTTCCATGGAAACAAGCAGGAGCAGGCACTCCTCCAGGCCAAATAAAAGTCAGGTTTATGGAGACGCAAGTCTGTCTGAATAAGGATGTATGTTTTTATACTTTTTGAATGCAGTAAACACAACTAAAAATGAAAAAAAAAAAACATGCTTGCATTTGAGTCCTTTTGTATATGATTATATAAAAGTTACGTACTGTGGCTTTAACTAATCATCAGTTTTTGTAGTTTGCTGTTTTTGAGGAATCAATTCTGTGAAAACAGGTTGAGGTTTTGGGGACAGGTCTTGTTCTGTCTCAGATTTTCAAAACAAATTTACATTTGATCATGAAAATGTCAACATTATGTAACTGATGAAAAACTTTGCCTACATAGTGCATAGTCTGGAATAGCAAGAAACTTTCATCATAGAGACAAACAATGGACAGGCAAAACTGTACTGAAAAATTAACAGAAACCAAAAGTCCTTTTAAGTTATGCAGTCTACTTTTACTCAAATGAGAACTTTTCTTGTGGCAGGTATGTCACGACCAAATAGCAGTGATTGGTTAAATAAAAAAATTACCAGCCTACCATCAAGCGAACAAATCCTAATCCTGCGAGGTCAGACAGTTTTCACAAAGTGAAACCGGCTGATGAATCAGGCTATTATGGCTTTGCTATTGGAATGTTCCATGTTACGACATTAAACATATCCATTTAGCATTTATTCATTACTCATTCACTCTTCACTCTATTGCTCAAAAATACAAAAAAGTCCTTCTCTGAATTGGGGAGACTCTCCACAGATCTGAATTGTAATGTAGAGTAGTACTGTAACCTGCTTGTCTCTTGTGATAGATAGATTTAACCTACACTGTGGAACATTCTTGACAAAGAAATAACATTTCCATGGGGACAAACTGGTGGCAGACCCTCCACTAGGAAAGTTACACAGTGCGCCATTAAATAAAAAGCCCTAAATCGTATCCCTGTTACACTAATTACAATATATTTTGGGCTCAGTATTTATCTTGAGTACTTTTTCATGGCAAACGTGGGGAGAGTTTTTCAGTTTTCTATGTAATACAATAGAGCTGCTCAATTATGGTAAAAAGTCATTATTACAGTTCATTTTGGTTAATATTGAAATCATGATCATTCAAATTATATTTTTTTTGTTGCACAAAGCTTTTATTCAGCATTTCTCTCTCACAAAAAGAAAAAAACACTTTGTTATTGATAATTTGCGCAAAACTTTCAAACTGAAAATAAATATAGGCTACAAATATGAACCTTAGAGCAGTTTTGATGTATAAACATAAAATGAATAAAATATACTTTGGACATGAAATAAGGCATAGAAAAACATAAATGTATCCAAAATAAACTATATATCCAGCTGTTCTACAATCTATATAATTAAAAAATATGAAGTAATTATATAAAAATATCCCAGAATAAACTTTGTTAAGCTTAAATCATTAACTCGATTAGATGAGTTTGGAGACTTATAATATGATCAAATTTGAGCTGTAGAGAGTAGAATAAATAACTGGCTAATTATTGATTCTTTCTGCCATTTATTTGTTGCAGCTCAGGCTTTTTAATTACACAGTCTATTTAAAAATTGTTTTACTGGGGTTATTGTGTCAGGGGCCTAAAGTAGATTCAATATTATCTTTTCACGCAATTTTCCTCTGTAGCAATACATGACGCTTCGAAATTATTATCATGACAGGCCAAAATTATATATTAACAAGATATTATTTGCATGGTTTCTAGAGTTTTGTGTTGATTTGAGTTGTGTGTTTGCAGAGTAATCTTTTATGTTCAAGGATTTACCCCTTACGTGTCCAAAGCATCTCTGCATACACTCATGGTAATGTGGTGATGATGGCTTATTGATTTTCACTGAACATTTTCTTCTTGTACTTGTCGTAAAGGTCAAAGGTCGTGGTTTTAAGTGCACGTTAAGGCCGTAGACTGTTGGATGGATGTGGTTGGTCGGCGTGTTATTCTCTTATTCTGTGTTCTCTGCCTCTCCCTTTTGCCTTTCGCAGGATATTAGCAATTAGCCACATTAGCTTCGTTGTAATTACGCAGCATGCAGGCCACATCTTTTCTTTGGAAGCGCGTCGGTAGCTATCATCGTCGAGCTATCATCATTATGGGGCTATTAGATCCTGTTGGTTCCATCAACTAAACTGAAACTAAAATCGTGGATGTCACAATATCAAATGACTGTGGGAAGAGACGTCACAATTTCGCAAGTGATTCGTAATTACTGTTACCATGACGACAGTAAAGCACTTCATTCGCGTTTATTACCATTGTTTAGCACAACACCGTTCGTCTAGTGTGATCGGTTTTATTAAATCAAACTTTCTGAATGATAAAGTTTAAGGACTACTGCTGTTACTGCTGCTACTATTGCTACTACTGCTACTACTACTGCTACTACTACTACTACTACTATTACTGCTGCAACTACTGCTACTATTACTGCTGCAACTACTTCTACTACTACTACTACTACTACTGCTGCTGCTGCTGCTACTACTGCTACTGCTACTACTACTACTACTACTACTGCAACTACTGCTACTACTACTGCTACTACTACTACTGCTGCTACTGCTGCTACTACTACTACTACTACTACTACTACTACTGCTGCTGCTGCTGCTGCTACTACTACTACTGCTACTACTACTGCTACTGCTACTGCTGCTACTGCTGCTACTACTCTTTGAGATTGTAATAAATAGTAAAAGATGATGAAAGGAAATGATGATGGTGAAAATAATATTATAGGTTAAGTATAGGGACTAAAAATATGTATTTAAATAAAAGTGGGTGGGGGCTAGCGGTGTGTTTATGCTGCACTACCACATTACTTTTGTTTTATTTAACTAAATTTGTGTCAGTGTGTGCGGTCAGGGGTGGGGGGGGGGCATTTTTGTTGTTTTGTATTTGTTGTGGGTGTTGCTTTATATGATTCTGTGTTTTGTTTTTATGCTTATTGTATTTTGTTAAATGTTATATTCTCTTAAAAGTTAAAGGTCCCATATTACAGTTTTTTAAATCTATTTTGTAATGTTGTTTTTTCTCATCACAATCAGACCTCGAGTTTTGTTTCATTCACACGTTTAACACAGAAATCCTGCATAATTAGGCTGCAGAGTTCTTCTCTCAAACAAAAAAAAAAAAGCTCTTCCACCTTGTGATGTCAAGTGGTGTTACAGGAAGTGTTTTTAAGATGCGTACGTCTTCACTCGAATCATTTGGACAATTTCAGCCCTGGAATTGATAATGCCTACTGAACATAAGGTAAAAGGGTAGCTGTTAACTACCTTTACGTGGCATCACAAGGTGGGACGGAGGATTTTGAGCTTTGGAGATGCTGACAGACTAATGATAAAGTTGTGTGAATGAAACAAAACACAACTCCAGGTTTTTGATGAGGCTTAAAGCTCACAAGAGTCACTTTTGCCTATAGGGCCTTTATGACCATAAATACAGAATTAAACCATTTTACATTAACTTTTTTTTTAGATTAAAGATGGTATTAAAATATTGACTTACTGCTTGTAAAATTTTCACCATTATACTTTATGGTTCTAATGATTACATGTTGAATTATCAAGACTGATGACTTTAATACAATAACAAAGTAATTAAGTCATTTCACCTGGAGCTCTCAGGCAATAACACAGCAAGAGAAAAGCCTTTGATAGGAAGTGTGTTTGGTAAATAGCTCTGTAAGCATGATTAAAAATTGTAAGTCTCCTGCCTACCTGTACTAAAACCAGAGCACACAGAGCCTGAATGACTCTTTTAACCTGAATTCAATGAGAAACAAATTATTCATATTTACAATGAATCATGACTCACAAACAGGAAGTGGCTGTCATTATTTCAAAGTGACTATATTGAGTCATACAGTAAATACATTTTTCTCTAGAGGTTTTAATTCCTGATATCTGGGAGCTAC